CGGGAGACCGCCTCTCCGGGGCACTGGCGCCTACCCGGGGGCGATAGCGGGGGAAATAGCAGGGTGCCCCGGGGGACGGCCGGTGATGGGGCCGGGGCGGGTACCGGCGCCCCGACGGGGAGGGCGGGCAGCTCTCGGGGTCGGCGCCCCAACCGGCAGCACCGCTCCTCTCGGCCCCTCCCGGGCCTCTTGTTTGTTTTAATAAAGCAGGACACCAAAATACTACGTGGGTGAAAGGATGTGTGTTCACCTCTGGCATTCCCGCGGTTTTCTCTTGGTAATGCCATGTCCCTCCTTATGCCTCTTCCTTTGGGCACCTAAAGATCCCCTGAGACTCCTCAACTCAATGTTTCTCTAAGAGATGCTTCGAGGTTTCAGGCGACGCCATCACCCGCCGGGGGAAGTCGCGAAGTTGCACAGCACGGAGGACTGCGAGTTCAGTTCTTGTTAAATCAAATCTTAAAAAAAAAAAAAAAAAAGGTCTAGTCGGGGGAGCTACTGAAATACTGTCCATTTTCCTTTATCTGTGCCTTCCACCGAATTAAATGCACACTGTAAATACTTTTTTTGTTTTCAAATCATGGAGTATGCCACGCAGATCGTGTTTCTACTCCTCATTGAACATTAAAAGATTGCCGCAGTTTTATGGTTCTCGACGAGTCTGGAAGCGATAGTAATTGAAATTGAAAACACAAATTCCTACACGATTTACTCACTGACATCAGTAAAGGAGCAGATTTAGTTTCCACGGGCAAACTTGTCCTCAATGTCCTAGAAGCGGGAATCGTGCCCTTACCCCCTCCCCCCCGTCTCTCCCTTCCCCCGGTTTTGGTCTAACAAGGTAAAAATCTCCAGAACCTCCTGCGGTGACAGGGAACTGCTGCTTCGGACAGCCAACAGGTAAAAAAGAAAAAAAAAAAAGAATCCAGAACAGACAGAGGTGCCGGTATCCGGCATTCAGAGGTGTATAGAGGCAGAAACGTGTCCTGGATCTGATCCTGTAAACACCAGTACATGCTCTCCTAGGCACATCCCACTCACGACTCTGTCCTCTGTCTCCTCAACGTCACTTACGTGTTATGTGCTGTCATTGTACCAGCTTGTCTTTACACCTCAGAATAATGCGCCTATTATTCTCTTCTTTCCAAAGTTTCCACCTCTAATCATGTCGTAAAAAATAGACTTAATAAAACAGTGATAATTACGCCATTATTGTTAACACTACCCATTAAAAATTTAAAAATAGGTTTTCTGGTTTGGTTACCCATTTGCACTACGTATCAGTTCTTGCGGCACTGAATCGTTCCGCAGCATGTCTAAACTTTTTTCCTTTTTTAAAGACGACAAGATTTCAGGGTTTATTTTTAGAGAAACTGAAGGCACATTATGGTTTCTCAGTCGTAATTGGACAGTATCGGCCAAAAGTTATTGACACTCTGTTGACCGGCGAAGGAAAATAAATATCCCCCGGGGAAAGAGAGTGTGATGTGCCTTTCCTTCTGCAGGGTTAGCAGTTTCAAGGAAAATGCCTGATTTATGAGCGTATCGCTCCACTAATGTTTTAATGTCTCCCTATCACTTCCTTGTTTTGGGAAGTGTGTGTCTGTGTTTCGTTTGGTTTTCGTATACCAGGCTACCTTTTAGCCTGTGTTAAGGCAGGATTCGGCGTCCTGATCTCGCCTTGGCCATACATCAGCAGGGAAGGCTGTACACTCGGAGAAATAAATCAGTTTGAAAAGTTTTGAGGATAGTTACGACAGCCTGGCTGTGACCTAGTGAGCGACAGATAATAGGTTTTAAATCTCTGTCTGGAACAGGCAGAGAAAAAAAAGAACCAAGACCATAGAGATACACTTTCCAATCTGCCTGGAAATTAATCCCAAATGAGGGAGTCTCCTTCCAAATTGGGCATGACAGATCTGAGAGAAACACTAGACAGAAGGCAGTGCACCGGACCCCACATTCCCGGCGAGGCAAAGCTCCGCAGACGCGGTAGAGACCGGGACGGGGCTCTTCGTTCCGCCACGCCGCGCCGGCGGCTTGTTGACGTGCGAAGGGCTATTGCGGCAGTACTGCTCCTGGGGGATGTAAAAATAGACATTTTAAGAAGCCTTAACTAATAAAATCTAAATTGGCCTCAAAAATCCCAGTACTTCCCCCCCCCTCCTTCTTAGACCCCCACTCGGGCCTTTAAATTCACTGCGTTTACCCTTGGGAAATAGAGGCGTGTGTGCGTCTGTCCGTGCGGGGGTACACCGCAGCCTGTGCTGCTGCGGGCTGAGTCAAACCTCCCGTGACAATGACCATCGTCCCCGGCTCAACAAAACCTCCGACCCGAAGTACTTGACGGGTGGCTTCCTGGTGGGAACGGATTAAGAATGGGGTGGGGAAGGAGACAGCAGTGACTCGTAAACGAAGATAATAAAATTTCTGGGGGACTGGCCAGCATAATCCCCGGGAACCATCTCCAGGACTCCAGTCTGCCAGAGAGAGGATTTCCCATCAACTTCCCTGCAATCGTCTCCAACGCCCACTCTGGGAGCGCTCCCTCCTATTCAGAATTCAGCTCCCGCTTACTGTTTTGTTTAGAAACAGACTTGAGTATCCCTCTTCTTGCTGCTAGCAAACTCATTGTGATGCGGAGATGCTCTCTGTCCGCCACAGACAACAGCCAGCCTCTTCCAACACGACTGCTTGGCTGAACTAGAAAGGAGGCTGGAAGTGAGCTTCCTCGGGAGGTTGGGGCTTCCCTGAGACTGGAAGGAAGCTGAACATTCACACACCCCCCCGAAGATGCCAGGGACACGAAAACAGCTCTTCTGCCCTTTCCAGCCGCAGAGATGATGCCACCAGCTGTGGGAAGCGGCACCAGCGAGACACAGGCGCAACGCTGCCCGAGCCCCCCCTCGCCTCACCTGCGTGGCCTGGCCCCACCGCTCCGCTCCGCACCGCTCCCCGCAGCGGGGTCAGCGCTGCCCCTCCGCCTCTGCTGAGTGCCAAAGGCAGACCACCTTATCCGTCCATCCATCTATCCATCCATCCATCCACCCATCCTTCCAACCACGCACTGCAGCAGCCGGACCTGATCCTGCTTCCCCGGCTCCGCTCTGGCACAGCCCGCGGAGCTGAGCCTGGCTGCGGCAGGAATGAGCAACGGGCACACACCGGTCTAGAGCTGGAAAGGAAGAAAAAGGAAATTGAATCTAGCAATGAGTTTTCAAGAAGTTTGCAGGCTTTGGAGCAGTGCACACTTCACACATGTGAGGGAAAGCAGCACGGTCCAGAGAGTGTTGTGCGCATGATGTGGATTTGCGTGGAAAAATGCTACGTGTATACACAGAGAGAAAGGGAGACTGGTGGCCACAGCCCTGTAAAAATTCTTGGTTTATTTCCCTGAAACCGGTATGCTTTTTCTAGAAGAACACTTTAATCCATGCATCCAGCGGACCAGGAATCTTGTTTGTTTGTTTGTTTGTTTGTTTGTTTGTCTCCTTACATCATACTCGTCTCTCACACAGGGCTAAACGGAAAAATACAGCATGTTTCCTCTTGCGCTGCTTGTTCCCCACCGAAGCAACGTCACCTTAGATATGCCAGTAAATTCCTTACCGGGTTAGGAACGTAATTGGTTGAATGTTTTCTGTATCCTGACTAGCCAATAACACTCTGAGAAAAAAATTTAGACCAACCTAGTCACGACAGATGGCGAAAATGACTTGACACTACACGTATGAGGCAATATTAACTGAAGATTAGATACTTACCGCATTCATTAGAAATATCAAAATATGCGAAAAAGACTACGTGTGCCGCTGTATATACGGATGCAAGGTCTCTCATTTTCAGACAAATGCTGTCCAAATGGTTGCCCTTGTCATGTCTGTTTTAACAACATCTGCTGTCTAGCATAAGCTCTGGCCTTGCTAACTTGCACTTCTCTAAGCCTGAATTATTCTTGGCAAAGCTTCTTCTTGCAGTTTCCCCCCCTGAAAGCACATAATAATTTGTGCAAAACCGTTAGTTAAGAAGAAGAAAGGAGAGGAGACATAAAACTCTCTTAAAAGCATAAGAATCGTGGAACAAATGGAAACAACAAAGGAAGAAATAAGAGCAAATGATAACCTTAGATAGCCAGAATAACTACAGTTATAAGTGAAGTAGTTTAAGTGAAGTATCTTTTAATCTGTAAAAAGCAATAAGTATATAATTGCATTTCCAAATTTTGAACTAACGTTTTAATCTCAGTCAATAGAAAGCAATGACAGTTAAACGAATAGGAACCAATGTTGACCCAGAGCAAGAAATCAAAGCTATTTTTACATTCAGATGTCAGCAGCGCGTTTCTTTATCGTCAAGTTTGCAAAGGATTCTTAGAAGCCTTATATATGCAGTTGGGCGGAAGCTGATTGCCAGCAATAAAAACTGCATCCAAGGAAGAGGCTTGAGTACGTATCTTCTCACTTCCAGGATGCAGCTAGGGATCTTCGCTTCAATTCTACATCAAGGTTGTGGCTTAAAGCAGTCAAAGGGCAATATAATTGTCAGGCAAGGCTTCCCCCCGCGGAACTCTCTCCGCATGTTACAACCTCTTTGCAGCTCAGCTCCATATGCATCTCTTTTTCACACTTCCCTCTCCATCTCGGGCTCCTACACCTGGTGCATCATGCATTTAGCCCATTCGCTCCGGCTCTTCTTTCATCTTCCCAATGGCAGACGTTTCTATTTATCCACTGGCAATCAATGTGTGGCGTCACCGGTGGTACTGTAATGACGACTGCACCATTGAGGATGACAGCTTAGAAAGAAGAGGGCAATGGTGATCCCTCCCAGAGCAGCACAGCAGAGTGTAGCGCTCGCATCACAAGGTCACCCTATCTCACCGCTTGTTCCTCTGCATTGGCAGGAGAGGGTTGCTGGGTTTATACAAGGCTGGGGCGGGAGCGGGAGGGAGGGGGGAAAGAGATCTGGATTTTTTCTCCCCTCCCTTAAGCAAAGCCACAATGGAAACCAGGAAGGAGATGGTGATGTTTCTGGAGGGGACAACTCTTGGCGCTCTAGTTGGCAAGAGGGTGCCTAATTTGTCCGAAGCAGTGGGGAGCCCCGCTCCGGAGCCGCAGGAGAAGATGATCCATCGGAACTGCCTCAGCCCCAGACCTGGCCCCTTGTCGTCCCGGGAGAGAGGAGGAGGAGGAGGTGGCGGAGGAGAAGACGAAGAGGAGGTGGAGGTGCTGCCAGGGACAGGGACGGTGCCGGAGAGCCGCTCGGCGGCGGCAGCACTGCTTTCGGCCGGACAGCAGCCCCCCGCGCCGGAGCCCCCCTCCAGCAAAGGGCAGCAGAGCAGCTCGGACACTGAGTCGGATTTCTATGAGGAAATCGAGGTGAGCTGCACCCCGGACTGCGCCACGGGGAGCGCCGAGTACCAGCACAGCAAAGGTACCCAACTCCTTCCCATGCCTCCAGCCCCCCGCCCGCTCCGGGGCTGGGTGGCAGCACTGGGGGGGCGGGGGGCTACCGGAGAGGGTTTTCACCTCGCCAGCTGAGCGAGGGGCAGTGAAATCTGTGTGTGTGTGTGATCTCCTTTCCTGGCTGATTCCTCGTCTCCCTGCCACCGGGAGACTTGTTTGGGAGTCAGAGGACACGACACCGGGCAGCCCCCGCATCCCTGGAGAGGAGCCAGGCTTCCCATCGCGGATGCAATCAGGTCTGCGGCTTGTTCCGTAAGACCCCCTTGGCCAAGACCACCACCCGCTCTTCCCTTCAATTTATTCTATTTTATTTTTATTCTTCCCTATCGCCTAGACAGTGCATGCTCCAGGAAATCCCTTACGATCCTCCATGCCGGCGGGTTTTTTTGTATGTGTGTGTGTGGGAGCAAGATCAAACGGGTTTTGTGGCCGAGAGCTGTTTGTGGTTTTGCAGGGTGAAATGTGCCCGGGCGAGTGCGGAAGCGCCCATAAAGACCGTAAAATCGCTCGCCTGCCCCAAGAGCGGTAGCGACGGCCTTGTTTGCGAGTTGGGTTTAAAAAAAAAAAAAAAAAAGGCCCAAATTACCTTGTCACTTCTATGTCTCCGTGGCGCCAGCTCGGAAATGGTCCCAATGAATTAATTGCCTTTGGTCTCGGGCACAATGAGGGAGAGTTGCATTTGAAAGCAAAAGCAGCGGCCAGGCCCCTTTTCCCCCTGCCCCCACTTCCCACTCTCTATTCCCACCTTTCCAGCTCGGCAAAGATCCCCCCTACGCTGACAACAACCCAATTCCCCCCCCTTCCCGTTCCTCCATCACTTCAAGAAGAAGCCGGGAAGTGTGGAGAGCGCTGTCTGCCCTCCCTTGTTCCTTACAGGCTCGTTGAAAATACCCCATCCTGGGCTTTGGAGGCTGAACAGAGGATCCCCGAGGCCTCGTCTTTCCCTCAGAGAGAAAAGAGTCCCTGCCTGCTCCTCTCCTGGGTCCTTACTGACCTGGAGAAAGGCGCCGCGGAGACGTGCGGCTTGGCCGGCGGGCACACCTGCCTTTCCCAGACGCTCAGTGTCGGGGGATGCTGCGGCGCCCGCCTCCGGTTTCCCGGTGGGGGAAGCGAGTGGGGGGTCATCGGGCAGACACCGCCAGTGCGGCGTGTGTGTGTTGAGGGATGGCGGGGGCAGATTACCTTCCAACCAGAGTGAATAAGCACCCGTCAAACCCTTAACGGGTGTTTCATCCCCCTTCTCCCTGCCCTCCTCTCCGGTCCCTCTTGCATGTCTTCCCAGCATCCCCAGTACACCCGGGCAGGCACAGAAAAGCCTAATGGGGAGGGCTGGGTGGGGAGAAGGGAGTTCGCTGGGGCGGCGGGCAGCGAGCATCCCTCCGTGCCTGCCCTCCTCCGAGCGTGTGTCGTTGCTCCGGGCTCCCCACGCAGGGCCGTGCTCCGAGGCGTTGGCCGGCAGCCCCAGCGGCGGGGGGGATCACCCCAAGGGCAGCGGAGGCAGCGGAGGCTCCCAGGGCTCACTCGCCTGCAGCGCCAGCGACCAGATGCGCCGGTACCGCACCGCCTTCACCCGCGAGCAGATCGCCCGTCTGGAGAAGGAGTTTTACCGGGAAAATTACGTGTCCAGGCCCCGGAGATGTGAGCTGGCGGCTGCTCTAAATCTGCCAGAAACCACCATCAAGGTACACGCAGCTCGGACATGTTTTTAATTAGCACGATATAAATCTATATGGCCAAACTTCCTTGCAAAACTCGGGAAAGCACTTCGCCAGCACAACCCTCCCTCTCAGCTCCCCCCGCCTCCCGCCCCTTTCCTGGCCCTGCCCGCACCCTGCAGCAATGCGGGAGAGAGGACACGGCTCCTGGAGCCATCCCGGCCAGCGCCGCTAATCCAGCCTCTCCCTGGCAGATTACTTTTAATCCTTCCTTCAGTCCAGTCCAAATCTCGCTCAGCTCTTGGGGGAGGGAAGAGGAAGCCAGTAGCAGATCTTGTTTCCATCTCACTTTCCTTTGCCTTTTCAAAACTATTTGCTCATGAAAATAAACCCGACAGCAAGCCAGGTAGTTCTGGATGCGAAAGGGCAGCAAGGAGGCAGAGCTGCCCAGTTGGCCGGGACCGAGGGGCGGGGGATGGTGCGCAGCAGGACAAGCCCTAGCAAGCAGAAAGGAAAACAAGCAGAGTAAAAGGGCTACTCCTCTGGGTCTCCCTATAGATTTTTTACTGGGGCTTAACTGATCCCTCCGTACGTGATGACAACTCCCTCCGAGGGGGAGAACTGGCGTCGGTCTCAGTTCTCCGGTAGATCCGCGTCCGCCGCACCGCCCCGGGGCAGGGGCTGGTACCAGCGGCCGGACGGAGCGGAGCGACGGCGGGTGACGGCTCTCGCCTCCCCTCTCCCCGCAGGTTTGGTTCCAGAACCGCAGGATGAAGGACAAGCGGCAGCGCCTGGCCATGACCTGGCCTCACCCGGCCGACCCGGCGTTTTATACCTACATGATGAGCCACGCAGCGGCCACCGGGAACCTGCCGTATCCATTCCCGTCCCACCTGCCCCTGCCCTACTACTCCCACATGGGCATCGGCGCCACATCGGCCTCTGCCGCCACCCCCTTCAGTACCCCCCTGAGGCCGCTGGACACCTTCAGGGTCCTCTCCCATCCCTACCCGAGACCAGAACTGCTGTGCGCCTTCAGGCATCCCTCTCTCTACCCTGCCCCAACTCATGGACTCAGCAGCACCGGGAGCAACCCCTGCTCCTGCCTGGCTTGCCACAGCGGCCAGTCCAACGGGCTGGCGCAGAGACCCTCTGGATCAGACTTTACCTGTTCTGCCACAACCAGGACTGACTCCTTCCTGACTTTCACGCCCTCTGTGCTGAGCAAAGCCACCTCAGTTTCCATGGACCAGCGAGAAGAAGTACCTTTAACGAGATAAACCTTTGTCTCAGGGTTATTAAACACTCGTCCCTTTCCCGGGCTTCTCTTCGAGTTAATGTACTTACAGCCCATGTTTATTTAATCGTGTTCTCTGCTCAGTCGTGGACACCTACAGGAAAAAAAAAGACTAAAAATAGCTCAGTCTTTAAAGGATTTACATTCCAAGCTGGAGGGAGGGAGAAAGAAAAGAAAAGAAAAGAAAAAAGAAAGAAGAGAAGAAAGAAGAAGGAAAGAAATTACTAGTGGTTTATCTCTGAGACGGTTTTGAGGCACGAAAGAGGAAGAAAATCAACCCGAATGAAATACACTTCAGTAACCTACAGAAATGTGCTAGGACTTTCTTTTCCATGGATAGACTTCTTCCCAAGGGCTGGGGCTTCTGTAGATCACAGCAACAAACCTTATGCACAAACCTACGAGACAGAGAAGGAAAATCTGAAATACTTGAAAGAAACATTATCTTGATAATGAAACGGCTTGTGCGCATGAAGAAAGCAAAGATGTAATCTCTCAGTGTTCAGAAAATAAAAACGGGCAGACAGCAAAAAAACCAAAAGATTTTCTGTTTGCACCTCGACAGTATTATCCATTTCTCTCTATAGAGAATAACAATGCTTTACCATAAAGAAAACCTGTCATTCTGTACATTACTTTTGTGGTTTAATTGCATTCTTCACCCTCCCTTTTCTAGTCCTTCGTTGTGAGCAGAAATCCAGCATTTCATTTCCTCTTTTATCCCAACTTCTATTTTTAAGAGGCAGACTTGAATTGGCAGGGAAAAAATATGAGCTCCTGCCTCTTTATGGGTCAGAGCTATTTGTCCTTTAAATATCAATGTCCTATTATCAGTCGCTGAAATGTGCACACACTGACGAAATTAGCAAGTGATGTATATGTAAAGAGGGTTTTTGAATATCGAATGTACAATGCTTTGTGAGCAAAGACCCCGTGCCAAACGCTAACAAGCCGCCAAGGGAAGAGATTAGGTGACAGGGAGCACAACTCCTTCAGACAATCACCAGTCTGTAAATTGGAGCAAAGGCGATTTCCCTTCCTTTGTACTTCAGCCTTCAGTTCTCTCATTGCCATTTCCTTCTGTGTCTTATTTCTTTTATTTTATTTTTCCTTTAAAAGAAAAAAAATGTATTTCATGCTTTGGGTTTTGTGTTTCCTTCCCCAGCCCTAATCTTTGCATTTGTATGTGTCCGTCACACTGATTCCTCTTCCTTCTTGAGGAGTTTTTCTTTCACAAGCTCACTCTTCCCCCCCCACCTCGCCTCCTCTTCAGAAGGTATTTCGGAAGAAGGTAGCATCGTTGCTTTTGCTTGGATTTCTGTAACTTAAAATTTAAAAAACACTGGCACGGGGCTCAGTAGCAGTTTATTTCAGTAGTTTCCTGAAATAAACAGCAGTTGTTTATTTCATTCTATTTTAAAATGGCCCAAAGAATACACTGCCATAATTTGTTACCATGTCAGAATAAAACTTAAAAGCAACAAAAATGAAACGACCAAAACTGATAATAACGACACATTTTATCAACATCTCACTCATATTTTTATCGTGCTTGTTAATAAGAAAAACAACTAAAATTGTTGCTTAAGACGAATTTCACAGTGCAGTTTCTAATAGTTACAGTTCAACAAGCAGGAAAATAAATGCTGGAGAGAACAAAGACGTGTTGACACCTCTGCTATCTACTTTGTACTAAATTGCTGAGAAACCTCTGGTTTATTGTCACACCGGAGACTTTTTGTCCTTGGGAAAGGGGGTGAATAGCAGCGTTTCCCTATAGAGGATGGAGAGCAGGGAAGAGGCACGGGCGTAGCAGAATATATTTTTCCAATTAAAAAAAATATTGTTTAGGACAGCTTTTAAAAACCTGATCCAAAGTGACCATCTTTAAATCATTAAGGGCATATTGTTCCGCCCTTTCTGAATGAGATGTCCTCATGGACATGGAAACCGATGGCCCTTTTTGGACACTCGCAAACAGATTCCCCCCCCCCCCCCCCCCCCCCCCCCCCCCCCCCCCCCGCCCATCCTCCCGGAAATAACAATTGTAAACAGCGTCCAAGGGCAGTGCCGAACAACGACCGAGCTTTGCAAGCCTTTCCTCTCCTATACTTTTTCTTTTAGTACACAGGAGAAGAACCAGTCCAACAAAATAGGAGCTGCAGAGCCAGTGCCTTATACAACCCCCCGGCGACCCCGGGAGAAGGGAGCGCTGAAGAGGACGGGGGAGGGGAGGGTACGGCAGAATGAGGACTGCCCGACAAAAACGGGGAGTCCTAAATAGCCCACGATGTCCCGTTCCTCGACCGGGCGGAGGCACCTGCTGGGCCGAAATCGTAGGCCGGGATCGACCGGGGCTGCTTCTGCTATCGCGGCACCAGTTTGCTTCTGCAAAGTGACTAGTCCAGAAAATACCATCGGCTGGGGGGCAGAGCAATATATATGTATTGTTAAATACAGAAATTTTATATATATAGGTGTGTGTGCGTGAGAAAGTGAAAATTTAAACGTCTGTTTAGCTCTTCCACCCGTGATAGGGACACTCCCCCTTAGTGAGCGGGCAGAAGGGAAGCAGGGATCGGTAGCGTCCGCAGCCGGCACGGTCCCTGCTCTCCCCGCATCTCCACTGCAGCCCTCCCGATTGCCCACTCTTGGAAGATGCTGCGGCAAAGGGTCTCTGTGAATTTCTCCGCGGTTCGGTCACAGGGCAGAAATTGTCTGCGACAGGTAAATAGGCTGAGGGGTCGCGGTAATGCCAAGAGTATTTTCAGTTAATAGGGGAGGGAAAATGAGGTGTCTGGAGCGATATTGGAAAGTACAAGATCGATGATCCGTCCTCGTGTCCAATCAGCAGCCTTTAATTGACTGTATTTTCTAGGTAATTGAGCCGCTGTGCTCCTAAATTGAAGTGGAAGATATAACAATACATCTCAGTGGGAGGAATTACTCATTACTTCATAATGAAATTTTCCATTTGCTGCGTGGGGCCGGTGCCGTTAACGCGTTCGCCGCCGGTGGGGGTGTCCGCGGCCCTACGCGGGGCATCGCCTCCGGACACGCGTGGGGCATCGCTGGCGGCAGGGGCAGGCACAGGACACCCAGCCGGCAGCAGGTTCTGCCCCTGGCCCCGAGCCACTGCAACCAAGCAGGCAGGTTTCCGTTGGCGGGCCCTGGCCGGGAATGAATCCCTTCGAGGAATTAGGGTGAGGTCCTGGGGGAGCCGGCAGTGGGCACCTGCCTCCTTGACACCAGCGGGAGCAGAGCTCCCTTCGGGGTACTCCATGTACTGCTCCAGGTTCGCTTCCCAGCCAGTCAAATTCAACTCCGAAAGGCCTTCCCTCCCTCCGCCCCCCTTCCCCGTTAGCGTTTGATTGATTGCCTTATTAAAGCGTGTTCTTGTAAGTGTGACCGAGCTGATTGCACTGCATATGTTTGGGATAATGCTCATTTTAAACAACTGAATAATAATACTACTAATAAAAAAAGGACCAGAAAAGGAAGAAGATGAGCTCTAGAGAACGGGTTAAGCCTAAACGATCCCGAGGAGCAGCGCTGTAACTCGCGCATTAAATTGCTCCGTTACTATCAAATCACTCTGTCCGTCTTTGTTGTGTTTTATCTGTCACCTTCTGTACCATTAAGCGAGGTAGCACCGAGACTGACGCTTACTTTCCCGTCCCAGATGATATGTTTTTATTAAGGTCGTATGATTAAACTGGATCGGATCTGCTTTCCCAGCACTATTCTTTACTTCAGCGTCCAAATAATTAGCAAATCGTCTGTCTATATTTCACATTTTCTGCTGGGTTGTTGGGTCTTTTGCCGGCACCTGCAGAAAGACATGCGGCTCTTTTAGCTTTTTTGGCTTGTCTGTCTAAAGGATCCTTTTGTTTTCTATTATTCTCCTGCTCGCCTGGCTACTTTATTTTACTGCTGAGTTTAGCCCCTGAAAACACCCTCCACCATATGTCACCCCAAGGCCCGCTGTCCTTACAACAGTACCATAGTGTCACCCTGGGGTAAAGCCAACGTCAGGATGAGATGAACTGTCGTTAACACAAATGGCTTCATTTAGGCGCATCAGGTTCCTGCGTGGGTGTTAAGGGGTGGGGTGGGGGGGAACCAGTCGCACATCCCAGAGCCCCTTATTTGTTGCCTGCTCCAGCCAGATCTTCTCGCTTCTCCTCTTACAAGGCGCAAACCGCTGTACGGGTCTGGAGAGCTGGTACTGCGGAAGGGATGCAGTTACAGTTGATTAGGGTAGATCGCCGCCAGAAATAGTCCCTATTTTGGAAAGTTTTTCTTCTTTTCTCTCTCACTGTCTTTAAAGTAGGGGGAAGAAGAGGTAGCTAGTTCAGTATCTTCTAACAAGAAAACAAATAAATCACTCCCTCTGGTCTCCAATTCACCGTTTGCCTTTTGATTTATTTATTTATTTCATTTAGTTTTTTAAATAAGTTAAACTCGGTGGATCTACGACCAAAAAACGTAGCGCAGGTTTACACTAATATTTACAAAACTTATTTTAAAGAGTCTCCGTCAGTGTATTGCAGGCACATATATACGCAAAGCAAATAAATAGATTTTCCCTGCTGCTTTCTCTGCAAAGAAGTGCCTGGGACTTCAGAGACAGAAATTGCCACTTAAGAACATCACATGAAAGTATTAAGTAATTATTTAAAACAAGGCTGTTTAGAAAAATATTTGTGTTTATTGCAGCTGCTCGATTGGCCTCGTTAAAGCTGGGGAGCATTTAAATTGTGTTACAGTCTCATTTAAATCCAGTTTCGTTCCAGCAGGCTGCAAAGCCTGAATAGAACCAATCACTCCATAATGATGATGAATGAGAAATTAATTCAGATACAAGCAAGACAATTTAGGCCTTCATCTGTTTAAATAGCCTTCCAAGATTATTCGCAATTGCAGGTCACAGATTTAATCAATTGTCCAATCTTGTGAAAGTCATATCCCTGCATCTTCATCGAGATTATTTATAGAGCAGTGAAGCCCGGTGAAAAGTATACGCTCTTAACAGGAACAATTACTTAAAGAGAAGCGTTTGCAAAATGAAAAACAAATGCCTCCGTGGACAGTAAATGATCAAACACCTCCTCGCTCTCCTCGACCTGAGGAAGGGAGCGGAGCTGCAGGTGGGGTGTAAAGGGAAACTCCATCCTTGCCGTATCGGCTTTTACGATCCGCAGCGAAACCACCGGCGCTCCTTCGTGGCCACCCAATTCAGCCTCCTGGGGGCCGTTCTTTGCTCCTCAGGGCCATGGCCGCAGCAAGAACACGTTAAAAAGCAGCTTTTAATTACGCAATAGCAAGCAAACGCGCCGCTACTCAGCCCGGCGATGCTGACTCCGCCTGCGGGGAGAACTGTCATTTTCTGCCTCTGACTGCCTTTCCGAGATACTTGAATATATGTGTACCATTAGCCTTGCCTTAGTCCGAGTCCTGCGAACCCCCCGACCCAGTCTTGCACAGTAACAGCCTCCTCTCGGCGCTGTGCCCGGCCGGCTCGGGATAAAGCATCCCTGCTCCTGTCCTGGAAACACCGCCTCTTCCCTAGGGCTTGAGCCAGCCTCACCTGGGAAAAAACGAGGTCCCGAATAACTCAGAGGTTAACAAAACCTCTATGAAAGTTGAAGTAGACCATTTTGGTAATCGGCAGAATTGTTGCACTTCTCGAAAAAAAAAAAAAAGATGGAAAGCAGGGAAGAGACCGGATTTGTTCGTCAGTGTCCCGGTATATAACTGCCTCTTAACGCTCATCACCCCTTCTCCAAACGCGGACCTATTTACCTGGAGCCTTCATGGCCCCTGGCCCTGAAGCGCTATCTGTAAGGGCCGTTTCAGGCTCCTGTCCAGATTTGAGGGGTGATTCCGGACTCGGAGAAAGGACGCTTTAAAAAGTAGCTTTTAACCGCGCAATAACTGCTGGCCCAAAGAGGCTCACCCCAATGCACAGGGAAGATATCCCGAGGGGATGACCTGGCATATGCTAGGGGTAGG